GCCTGTGAACACAACTGTCCTGCCCTCTGTGATACAGAGACTGATTAAATGTCTGGTTTTCTGAGGAACTGAGGAGTATGAAACAGGCAGGATTGCTGAAATTAGGTTTGGTGTAAATTTTATAGCAACTGTGACCAGATGGAAATGAGAGTACAATATGGTGCTTGTTCTGTAGAAATGGCCGTAGACTCACTTCACCACCACCATTAATGGATCCTCAAACAGCCACCCAAGAGAGCTTTTCTAGTTGGTAAATGGGTTGTTACAATTGGGGATAGACCTTTCACATAACAGATGGTTGTGCGCACGACCTTCAGAAACCCTCTTTGGATCTGGGAAACAACTATAATCCAACAAGTAACATGCCTTTTGAGACAAGATACTTGAAAAAGTGGTGGTCATGCAATCAATCCAATTTTTTTTTTTGATAAACCAGATTATTTGGACCCATTTCAGTTTAGATTCAAGGCTGAGTATGATGATGAAACAGCCTTGAATGGCCTGACAGATGCTATTTATCAAGAGAGGGATAGGGAAGGAACACCCTGCTAATTCTCCTCCTTCTTTCCATAGCCTTTGATGTATCATCACAATGCTAGAATCATTCTGGGGAATGGGAATAGAAGGAAGTACATTGTTTGTGTCTACTGGTTCCGTTTCAGAAAGAAGTGTTTGGGGGTATGGATTATCTTATTCCGCTGTGTGGTATTTATATTGTGGTGTCCGGCAAGTTTCCAGCTTTTCTCTCAGTTTTTTTTAAACTGCCAGAGGAGGTCACCAGGAAGGTTGAAGTGAAGTCCCATTAAGTATGCTGATGATCCACCATGCTATCTCTCTTTGTGATCTGCATCAAGCGAGATCAGACAGGTGCTCAACTCGTTCCTGGATTTAGTAATGTACTAGATGAAGGCCAAAACATTTCAGTTGAATCCTGACAAGACAGACAAAGTATGGGAAGGTAGTTCTCATTTCCAGGCGGCACTTTTCAGTAGTACACTCCCTAAAAGGAAAGTATGTATATTCTCTACTTTGTTTATTAAAATCTACCATTTAGATTAAAGACTTTCTAAGCTCAGCCTGCACAATATTAATTGCCGAAAAGCTTTACTATCAAATTTCATTCATTTCTGAGCTACATAGGTCAAGTCATGTAATGTTATTGTTACTCTGCTTACAAGACACAGGGGAAAGAAGGAGGGAGAAGAGAGATAACTATGTGCATGAATACTCACGAATGTGTATGCCAGTAAATTTTTGCATCTCTTGGCATAAGCCAATCAATCTCTAGAAGCTGATCAGGATAAACTACTTATTCCAAAAATGATTTTTTAAAAAAATTCTAAGCTATTAATATTTTATCATAACAATAATCATCATTATGTTCCAGTAAGTCTATTCCAAGTTACAGTGATCTTTTCTAAGTTTTTCAAGGTATAAAGTACACAGAAAAAGTTTAGCATTCCCTTCCTCTGGGTATACTCTGAGAGAGAGAAGCTTTCCTGCAATATTTTATCATAGCCTCTGATATGCACAACTTATTTTAAGAAACTGAGATTCTGCTTCCAAAAGGATTTTAAAAAATTATCTGTTATACTGCCACTTAGTACATTAAGCAACAAACATTTAAAAGAACTAAACTGGTTGATAATCACATATTATCTCTCTGCAGGAGTATTGCATCTCCTGGCATCTAAACTAAAAAGTAAGTGCTAGGATCAAACAAAACCTGTATGTTTTCTTTTAAAAATGGCTTTAAAAATAGTACACTACAGTGGGGTCTTAACTTGAGAACTTAATCCGTATTGGAAGGCGGTTCTCAAGTCGGATCAAACAAAACCTGTATGTTTTCTTTTTAAAATGGCTTTAAAATAGTACACTATTTATATACAGTACATGTCTATTTTGTTTCTGATGAGCTTAATATTTTGTGTCCAAAACTGAGCCATAAAGATTACTGTATCAGATACAGTGATGCCTCGCAAGACAAAAATAATTCGTTCCACGAGTCGTTTCGTATTGCGAAAATTTCATCTTGCAAAGCGCGGTTTCCCATAGGAATGCATTGAAATTTAATCAATGTGTTCTTATTTGTCTTGCGAAGCACGGCCATAGAAAAATTTGTCTTGCGAGTCACCCAAAAAAATCACAAAGCACTTTCATCTTGTGAGCTTTTTGTTCCGCGAGGCATTCGTCTTGTGAGGCATCACTGTACTAGGTCTTCAGGCACAATTTCCTCCCCTGCCCAAAAAGTAACATAATGCTTTATAACAGACATTACAAGCCTCTGAGCTTCACAGCAATCTATATTACTCAACAGCCTTGCAATACTATCACATAAATTAGTCCAACAATGAGTATCACCTTTTCTTTCAACTGGTTTGATCCAATATCTCCTTTAACTGACAGAACCTTCTCCTGAGTTGAATATTTCCACTCGCAGAAAGCAGAGGGGAATTTTTCTGACTTCCTCTCCTTTCTCAGCATACCCTTCCCTGTTGTTCCAGAAGACACCTCAGCCCTTTTCAGAGCCATGGGGGGGGGGGGTGTCAATGAAAATGGCTTCCACTGCATTCTACTACTGGAAATGCTTCGTCAGATCTGTCTGCAGGAGGAAAATACTAGCTCCAACTCATAATCTGGATTCAATGCAAATATTCTGGAAATCAATAAATGAAGCAGCTTTTAATAATATATAAACCTAAGTTCAGACTGTATTTTTAAATATAATCTGATCATTTTTTAATCTTATCCAGTATTTAGACACAGTCAACATACTTTCAGAAACTGAAACAAGTACCACCTTAAGCCTATTTAGTGAAATCTGCAAGAGACCTGAGTGGCAAGAAATAAGAATATCCCTATCAAGAAGCTACATAATCTCATATAGGCATACTAAAGGTAAACAGTAAATGCAGAATAAGGAATAGCAAGCAAGCAAGCAAGCAAGAAAGCAAGCAAGCAAGCAAGCAAGAAAAAAGGAAAGAAGGAAGGAAAAAAAGAATAAAATACCAGCCAGAAAAGGCTTTATCTGGAAAAGAAACAGAGCTTGATAGGAATAGGAATAACAATTTTATCAGTCATTGGGAGCTGTTTGACAGAACACATAAAAAGAGAAACCTAGACAAGGCAAAATCTGATGCAATTTGAAATTACATCAGATTATCATCTGACATCTTGTAACCATGAGAACTGTATTTTACACATTTAAATTTCACCAAGGCTTATATATTTTTAGAAGGTGGTGACCAACAGAAGGATCCTTCTTAACTGTCCATCACCACTGTAAAAAGTGATGATTTCTTTGTTCTGATTCCAGAGCTAGAAGCATGAAACAGGTAGATAAAACAGGAGGATATGCAAATAAAATAACTTCTAAAACTGCTAGCACATTTGAAGAAGTAGACTACATCCCACAAAACCTTATGCTATTCATGGCCTGGTAAAAGATATGATGGAAGGGACTGGAGCATATCTAGTTTAAAACAATTACTGTATGTAAATGCTTCCGCTAGCTGAAAGAGATGGAGAGGTTCTCCTACCCAATTTTATTCCTGCAACACTGCTGTAGTTAGTACTATTAGTATACTGAGTACTTATCAGAGCTCAGAAAATTATATTTTAATAGGCATTACCTATTACACCTAAGGAACTTTACTTTTCACTAAAAAAAGTGGTACAATATCTAAAACTATGTACTTCCATGCTCAATTGCTTGTATCCTGTCTTTCCATGAAACTGTAAGTCAAGTCTCCATTGACCTACAGTGCATTGAAAACCGATTAATCCCATAACAGGCCGTTTTTGTTCCATTTTGGTTTTTTTCTGGTCTGTAAGTCAAATCTCAGTCTACAAGTCAAACTTAAATTTTGCGGCCAGAGAAGTCTGTAACTCAAAAAGTCTGTAAGTCAAGCCGTCTGTAAGTCAAGGGTCCACTGTACACCTAAGGAACTTTAATTTTCACTAAAAAAAAAGTGGTACAGTATCTATAACTATGAACTTCCATGCTCAATTACTTGTATCCTATCTTTCCATGAAGGAGCTGAATTTATTTATTTATTATTTGAATTTATATCCCACACCATCTGGCAACCAGGGCAGTCTGGGTGGCTGCACATCAATGTGATGTGTATGGTTCTTCACACACATTATATTTCATAGCAGCAACATCTAAGTCCTGAGTAGCGGGCATTTTCCTTCACTGTCGCTTTAAATCATCTTATAGGTCAAAAGCCAATTTGAAGTACCTCTCAATCGCTAGAAAGATGGATCTGTTTCTCTCCTCCCCCCCCCCCGGAGGCTTCTGTGTCACTTAAAACACTGACTCTCGAGAGTTTCTTAGCCCCTCAGAAGAAGCTTCTAGAATATGCAAAGAGCTGCAGGGATGTTGCCCACCTCTCAGTTTCTCTAAAGAAGTAGCCCTCTAAGTGGAAGCATCATCTTGGATCCTAGCTATTATATATATTTGTTTTCACAAACTGGCAACCAGCAGGGAGACTATCATTCGACTGAAGGGAAGAATCCAAATATACTGTATTAGATAAATAATTAATGATAAATAAAATAGGTGGAGAGAGCGATTGGTCAAAGGTTAGCCAATGAGCTTAAGGGCTCAACAAGGATTTCAACCTCAGCTTTTCTAGTTGAACACGTGTATCCGCTGCATCACGTTCTTAACTCAAAGTGGTCAGAATCATATAAATCAGTTATTAACCATCTTTAAGTCAGCTTAATTGATACTACAAGCCTCTCCCATGTTTGGATATAATGTGCCAGTGGCATCATAGCTATATGCCAAATTCTGCGTAGTCAGTCTGATGCTTTATAATCAAGTGGAACATAAATGCTTTCAACGCATAAATACTGTAAAAAGCAAATAAATTATTTCCTATAAACTTGAAACTTGAACTAGTAAGCCTCTACATTAACCATCTCTAAGCATAGCCTGAAATAGTAACTTATTAATACAGCTCAGACACTATTTCTTTTTAAAAGCAACTCACCTGTAAATAAGTTTCCAAACCTTGCCGACGCTGTTCGAGGACTTTGGGCACCCAGTTCCTCACATGCTTTGAAGGGATTTCTGGGGTTCTTATAAATTTCTTAAGCTAAAAATATTAACAGACAAATACACATCTCTTTAATAAGGTCTTATAAGAAGGAAGGAAGGGAACTGGAAATAGAGAATGCATCTATCTATCTATATGTATATATGAAGGCAGAAGATATATACACGCAGTATACTGCATTTTGCTATCAAAACTGTTGACCTAAATCATACAGTTTGCCCCAGCCACCCCAGTGAATCAATGGAATTAGGTAATGACTCAACAAGTTCACATAGATTCAATGGATCTTACTCCAGTTTGGACTAGCAATGGGATTCAGGCCTTATTCGTGGCTTTCTTTAATTACAAATGTTATGCTATATACGACAATGCAGAGAACCTGAAATAAATATTCATAACAGGTAACATGCTGGGCAACAGCTTAGCTCCGGAACTAAGCACTCTGGTATGTCATTTTAGAAGAAGTAGCCGTGTTAGTCTGTGCAGGCATATCAGGCAAAATCCGAAGAAACAAAAGAAGACAAAGACATGTGGCAGTTTAAAAACTATTATACAGTGGTGCCTCGCTTAACGGGCGCCCCGTTTAATGACGAAATCGCATAGCGATTAACTTTTTGCGATCGCTTTTGCACTCGCTTTGCGATGTTCCCTATGGGGAAAAAGCGCTTTGCGATGATCGGTACCTGTTTCGCTTACCGATCATCGCAAAGCGATGATTTTTTAACAGCTGATCGGTGGTTCCAAAATGGCTGCCGGGTTAAAAAAAATGCCCACCCGCTGTTTTCTGGGATGGATTCCTCGCTTACCGGGCAGCGAAAATGGCTGCCGTATGGAGGATTTTTGCTTAAAGGTGAGTCTGAAGCCCATAGGAATGCATTGAAGGGGTTTCAATGCATTTTTATGGGCTTTTTAATATTGCATAGCGATGAAATCGCTTTGCAGCGATTTTTGCTGCACCAATTATCGTCGCTATGCGAGGCGCCACTGTAGTTCAATGTGAGCTTTCATGAACACATCCACTTCACCAGACACATGGAAACAGAATAAATGAAATCTCAGTTTCCGTGGTCTGATGAAGTGGACGTGTCCATGAAAGTTAAGATGCCACATGCTTTGTCTTGTTTAGTCTTGTTTCTTTGGATTTTGCCTGATATACTCTGGTATGTCAGTTATTGCAGTCCCTTTACAGGATTAAATGTTTAGAAAACAACAAATCAGCTGAGCAAGATGAAACTGAGCAACATACAAAATTACAATATCTTAGTTTTCAACTAGAGATGGCAACTTGTGAAGAATAAACATAATCTTAATATTTAACAGATGAGATGTCTATGTTAACAGAAGATAAGGGATTGAGTGATTCAACTGTCAGAAACAGAAACAGAAATAAATAAATAAATAAATAAATAAATAAATAAATAAATAAATAAATATTAAAACTC